AAAAACGAATATATCGAATGCAGTATTTCTTCTTTGCATTAAACATTGAAATGATTACTTATATTCTGCATTAAAAAATAGTTATTTTCTAATATAACAAAAATTTGTGAAACAAAAGTCATACTTTTCAAAAAAAGGCTGTTTGTGTGTATGTTTGCTGTTTGCCAAATGTGCCAAGCTACGTTAAGCGGGCAGAAGCAGGCAAAGCAATGATGCGAAAATGTGTGCGCTTAAAGCATAGACAGACGGTAACGTTGATCCGGACTAACGCCGCAATTGATCTGACGGCAGTAATGCGGATTTACGAGCCGCGAGGTCGTAGGTCCGAATCCCACGGCCGGTAGAATATTAATTTAATTTATTTTATTGATTCAATTATAGCTTCCATATTTTTTATTTTAAAGTTGTTTTTAGTTAGTTGTTTTTTGACTTTTTTAGTTAAATTAAACTCTAAAAATTTTAATTAACTAATAATAAAATAAAAATTTGAAATAAAATAAAACAGACGAAAATAAAATAAAACACAATTAAATATATAAATCAAATAAAAAAACAAATAATAATAATAATAATAATAAAAACAAATTTTTTTTGGCAATCGCTCCAACCGAGGATCGAACCTGGTACCTACGGGCTTGGAGTATGCAGCTTCCACCACTCGGCTACCGCGGATGAAGCAATCAGTTGCTTTATTTGCTCAGTTAGCGTAAAACACAAAGAAACTGCAAAACTAGCATAGACATCCAACCTGTCGTCGGTAATTCAGTCACCGAAATAAGTTCTTATTCATTTTAAATTGGATTCCTATTTTAAATAGTATGGTGACTGCATTACCGATGAAAAGGTATATGTCCGTGCTAATTTTGAATTTTCCGTATATTCCACGCTCTCTAAGTTTTGGTCAGTGTTGTCATCGAAAATTCCCTTGATCCGATTTAAGTTTGGGAATTAACTCTAGGACTTAATCCGGATAAACTGCAGTTAATTCCCGAGATAATTCCGACAAAACCAAACGGCAACGTGAATTGTTGCTGAAAACGTTGGACCAAATGTTTCAATAAAAACAATAATTTCAGGCGGGACGATATTCGCCGGGTCTGGTAGTAATAAATAATGAACTAAAAACATATAACCTTGACAAGGGTTTTTGGTTGTTGTTAGGAAACTTTGTAAACAGTTATAAGCAATATTTCATAACGATCAAACCAAAAATCATAGACATTCAAATTTTATGGCAGTTAATTTTTAAGGATTAACGGATAATAAATAATACGCGGTCAAAAAGTTCTAGCCCCACCCAACTTAATACGGTCTTCAAAGGGTTAATTTATTAGAAGTCTTCCTGTGACCCGCTTTTCAGACAAACGTAGTAGCACTTTCGTTATCACAAAGAACATAGACTAAGGAGCCATAAACATAGCATCCTTATTTTCTATGTACTTTGGTTATGTTTTATTCTGTGAAACTCTCGCTATATTGCAGTCTATCATTCTTTCTTCAATTTTTTTTAAAGGTTTTTATGATTATGTATTTGTTAAGTTTGTTGTTTTCTTTTAACCATATTGGTGAACCATATTAGTGAAAAAATATAAATAATACTAATTACCTCAAACAATTTATGAATATGAAAAGTATATATTTTTTCTTTCTCTTGTTTTAAATAAAACATCTAATATATGTTATGTCTGTTTATTCTAAAAATAAAATTATATGTTCGGATTCGAAGCTTTGGAAATGTCCCAATTTTTGTCCACAGAAATCTGGTCACCGTATCCATCATGCCTCATCGCCCGCAGATATAAATAGTGCATACGAACTAAAAATCGGGTTAAGTATGCAAGAATAAACGTTAAATCTTATTCTGTTTTGTGTAAAAAATGCATAGCTGTACCATTTACCAGTAGCTCACTAGTACCAAATATGTATTAATTTTTTACTATGGGATTATATGTTAATTCAAAACTTTAAAGCCATTTTTCTCGAATATTAGGTTTTTTAAGTTATGACAGTATTAAAGTAAATGAGCGACAGGCTCACAAACGCATACACATATGTCTCTTGTATTAACCGAAACTTACCATATCCCTATGGAAATATTAAGAACGTCTTTTAATAGCATATTTTAAGAATACGTTTGAAATGAGCATGAACAAATGTTCTATGGCGTGCCGACTATTGATTTAGATCCATTTCTGCATCAAAAAAAAAAAATTCATAAAAACGTCGCCTAGGTTTTTTGGCGGTTAGGGCTTGATATGTAAATAAATAAATAAACAAAAGTTTTTTATTGGGAGCGGGAGTGCAGCAAGAGTGGAGCTCGGAACGAAATAAAATACCGGAGCGGAGCTAGGAACTTTAGAACTATTGAAGAGCTACGCAGAACAGTTTTAAATAATTTAAATATTTTTTTAATTTATTTATTTAATTTTGCAGAACTTTCTTTTTCCTTTTCAGGATCTCAAGAACTCTAGAACTTTTGAAAAGCTACTCAGAACAATGTTTTATTTGCCCTTACCATATGTCGTATGCTCCGTGAATCTGGCATACACAAAATATCCACAACTTTTTTTTCCTTTTCAAGAACTCTAGAACTACTGAAAAGCTACTCAGAACCATGATACATTAAGGTAGTTTCATTTCAAAATTTTTGACAAAAAATAAAGTTGTGGTTATCAGAAAATTCCGAGAATCCACAAATGGGTACTGTTACAAGTTGCAGGGCATCATTTTAAATCAACCTCCTCCCTCTTCCACGGATAACGGTACATCGTTTAGAGGTTTAAAAATATTTTGCGTCAGCAATTTGTCATCAAACTGCATTAGATCGTATTACGTATTCTATCCTCGGAAAAGCAAAAAACTTTATTTTTAAACCTCTACACAGGTGTACCGAATTCTTGCAGTTTGGAAACGCGCAATAATTTTCTTTAATATTTTCATCCAGCCTCACTGACCTCACATTTTTTTTTTCTTTTTCAAGAAAAAAAATTTTTGCTGCTACTAAATCTGGTAACATGATTTTAGTTAAGTGTCATAAACATGTTAAAAGTCAAGTGGTCGGCAACAACAACGAATGTTAATAAATGAAACTACCCTTCTATTTTTACCGTCCTTTTTATTACCTTCCTTTTATTAGCTCGGGATATAACTATCAGCGTTACCATTTTAGCCGTTTTCCGGCTAGATTTAGCCGGTATTGATAGCAACTAGCCGGAGAAAATTCGATCTAGCCGGCANAAGCAAAGAAATCCAATGTGCGTTAAAACGTTAAACGCTATTTTATATATAAGATACGGTTTAAAACGTGAAGAAAAATGCTGCCATAATTTTACTGTAGATGACGATCTCTTAAAATTAATGAATTCAGGTGATATATACAATAGTGATTCATTTGATGATGAGGAATATACACTCGATATAAATTAATGGTGTTAACTAGTCTTTCGTTTCTTGCGATTTATTTAAATAAAGCATGTGAATTTTCACTAAAACATTTTAGCCGTTTTTAGCCGCTTTTTTTTGACAATCTAGCCGGTCGGCCCAAAAAGTTCTGGCAACACTGATAACTTTGTAATATTGATGCGCCTAAAAGATGCAGCGATTTCTATTCTCAAGTTACATACCTGATGACCGTACGAATGGCAATTATAATAGGGAGGTTTTAGTTTTTTAAACTATAATTTTATTATTTATTTTATCATTGCCAGAACATCTTTTTTCCTTTTGCGTCATACCGTATGCCAACTTCACAGACATTGAAAATTTGTTTGTAGTTTTTTACAAAGTTATAAACTTGGGTTTTGTTAGAGAAAGAACTGTATTTTTATTGAAAATTTTAAAAATTAAATAAATAAACATAAGTGGGAAACAAATCACTTTGAAATGGCGTGCTATAGATATGACCGGTACTGTATGTACATATACAGTGAAAGCTCCCATAAGCGGACACCGATGGTCACCTACTTTATTTCCGTCTAAGGGAGATGTCCGCTTGTGGGAATTTCGTAAAAAATATCGTTAAAATTCAAATTGAAAATATTGAAATTGCGGGTTTCTAAATTAAAATATTTGTTCTTCAATAGACAAAAACAGGATGAATTAAAAACAAATTCAAATCTATGGCGTTTTCTTTCCTACCAACAAATCTTATTGCCCGCTTCGCTTAAGCAGCAAGAAGAGGGCAACGTAGAAGCTACACATTTTCTAGGAAAGGAAATATCTTTGAATATGGACTATGTTCTTGTGTACGTATACATCTGTACAAGCGCAAGAGTCAACATCTGACTGAAAAAAATGAAAAATTGGCCGCTTGTTAGAGCCTCGCGTCCTCGTATGGGATACATTTTTTTATAACTGGACATTTTTCAGTGTCCGCGTCCGTTTATCGAAAAGTCTAATACACGGACTGTTTGTACGGGTGTTTTGTATGAAAAAAACTAAAAATTGTTCTTTCCCAATGTGCCCGTTTATTGGAGAGTTCCGCTCATTAGAGCGTCCGCCTATGAGAGCTATCACTGTACATATATCCGTACACACATACATACATACATACATATCTACTGGCGGATATGGACTACATGAGCTAGTGTTGCGGTAGCTAAAAAGTAGTAATTGTAGTCATTGTGCACGAAATATTGAATTCAATTATTGTCTTCATTGAAAAATACCAGACAGCAGGAAGAAATTGTTGGAATGGCGCTTGTAATTATAGATAAACAACAAACAATTAGATTTTTACTATTATTTTTTACTTTGAAGTGAACTGGCACTTTTGAATAATAACACTAACTTAAAATATATAGAAAGCTGAATCATAAAACAATTACATGATGTCAGAAATTTAACCCTTTTTCTTTTGACAAGATAATTTGGTTATGAAAAATTTAACAATGGATCATTTCAACTTTTATCTTTGTATTTTGAATAAGATGGCAATTATTTAAACAATGAGTAGGGCTACCAGAATTCCATAATTTACTTATCTGCACTTCAAATTTCAGGTATAACGCCAGGGTACTTTGCGCCAAGCCCAGCAGCCGCATATCACTTGGGCAGCCATCTGACACAGACGAATCCGTCAGCATCACAGGTGAGTAAAAACACTTAATGTGTACATACTGCATATATGTACATATGTACAGTTATATGTGTATGTATACATCTACATACATACATAGGTGAATGATGAACAAAAATTAATCATGACTAGTCGGGATAACAAGGCTAAATTACTAAAATGCATTTAAATAACACAAAATTGGGAAGCGGAAAATATTATGTTTGGAGTATGAAAGTAATGAACGAGGCGCCAACCAATCAGCTCTACTGCGTTTAAGGTCGACATAGCACAACGCTCATACGGTGTTCACATGAGGCGATTTTCTAAGCAATTTTAGAGGCGATTAGTTGAATCAAAAGTTGGCTGCACCCCAACTTCATTGGAAGCGATTAGTGGAAAGGCCGTTCACACCAGGCGATTGTTGCTTTCAACTAAAAGTTGCCTGTAAAATCGCCTCATGTGAACACCGTATTATAGCAACGGCATTTAAGGTAGTGTTTTAATAGCTCTACCCACCTTTTCTACCTCACTTTTAGTTGGAGCATCAAGTTGAAGGAGCACCTGCTTATTGGTGTTTGTATATTTTAATCACATAATTACTGAACTTCCACAAAGTGACGCCCACTTTNCCGTTCACACCAGGCGATTGTTGCTTTCAACTAAAAGTTGCCTGTAAAATCGCCTCATGTGAACACCGTATTATAGCAACGGCATTTAAGGTAGTGTTTTAATAGCTCTACCCACCTTTTCTACCTCACTTTTAGTTGGAGCATCAAGTTGAAGGAGCACCTGCTTATTGGTGTTTGTATATTTTAATCACATAATTACTGCTAGCTATTTGTTATTTAATTGTACAAACAAAGCCGATGAACAATTTTAAATGAGAACCTTATCAATAGGAACGTATCAACCACTGTTTGCTCTAGTGCTCTTCAACTCGATTCATTCTTGTAATCCCTTGAACTTTTTCACACTAATTCGTCATAGGCAAGAATTTATGTCAAGTCATTGTCTGCTTCGTTATGATAAAATGTCTACATGCAGTTGCAGCACACACTAAACGACTAGGCGGACAGTGAACAGCGATCAGGGAAAGGCTGTCGACCATAGCCAAATTACAATTATTCAATTATTGATTTGATGTTGAAGGAGTTGGCCTGCAAACAGTTTTACAAGGATATAATTTAGTAAGTGCGTAAATAAATAAATAAAAGTGTATCGTGCAGGGCCAGTTATCGTGTTGAAAGTTAGGGTGAGCAAACCGTAGTTTCAAGCATGACAAGTACTTTTAATTGTTCTACGCAAAAGAGACTTTATACTTAACAGTGAATAAAAGCGACATGTGGGCGTTCTATGCTTGACATATTTAACAGGATCTTGTTGGCTGGTTGAGCGTGGAAGTGAAAAATTCCACCTGCCAAAGAATCGTAAAAGCGTATGTTTGTGTGTACTTAGCATATGTAAAACATATGTTTGTATGTACATAAGTATACATACATATGTACATATGTATATTAGGGTAGGTCAATTTGTATGGGAGATTTTTCGACTAAGTGCGTATAGCACAGAAGGATTCTACGTGTAACTCTAAGCGCATTCGCAGAAAAAACAATGGGTCTAAAATAGGGCTGCCAAACGTCCTGGTTTTCCAGGATTTGTCCTGATTTAAACAAATTGTCCTGGTCCACACTTAAATTGTCCTGGTTTTTTAATGAAGGTCAATGCAGACACCCATCTAACTTTTATTCGATTTTTGCTTTGAAAAAAAAAGGTTAAGCTTTCTGTCCGTAGTAGTCGAAAATCGATCATGAAACATTTTTTATAACATATCGAACAATGTCTGGTGAGTTTACTTTCTTTCTTTTTAGTTTATTTGGTTAAAATCTAATTTTGTATCTTCAGGAAAATGCCAAAAAAATGCAACTTCCTGAGTAGGTATACGGCGGACGGGTCACACATACTACTCAGTAGATAATTTCAGGAGTTAAAATCTCTTCCAAAGGGCCTTCTGAAAGTCATTTTTTTCTCCTTCCTTTTTTGTACAGAGTGGCACAAATTGAAGGGATTCTGCTTTCGCTACTCAAAGAAGAGCTTCCACGAGGGCTTTTGTATGACGATCTTCTGAAGTCCTTTTGAAGAAGTTCTTTTAAAGCTGTTTTTAGTTCACAAAAATCATACTTATTTAAGGAATTTGAATATTTTGGGTTCAGATCAAATATGTTTTATTGAGACTTAAAATGCTTATTGAATCCTATTTGTAATGCTAAATAATATAAACATATATTGAATACATTCGCGTAAATTGTAAATGGGAGACCCCTTTCCAGGAAGCATGCAGGGAAGCACTTTTTTCAGTCCTTATTGGGTAAGTCTTTTAGAATTGCTTCACTTCAGACAGCCTAACTAAATTATCTTGATCATGAACCAAAGAAATTATATTTATAGGGAATAAGTGTCCTGGTCGATGGGTTCAGGATTATGGCAGCCCTAGTCTAAAATCAATTTTGCCTCTGGTGCCGTAAAGAAATTTGGTGTTCCCACCAACAATTTTTGTTTTTTTTTTGTTATGTAGTCAAGTGATTGGTGCAATACAACAAAATTCTATTGAAAATTTTCAACAACCTATTTTTTGTGATTGAGATAAACAGAAATTTTTGAGTATTCATGCAATTGGGATACGATTTGCACCAAATACCCAGTCGTGTGACACTGCCTTTAAACTTGTATTCATACGAATGTGGTTAAAGAATGAACTATAAAACTTTTACCAACAAAAATAATATTTTAAAACTTGTCAAAATTTGGTGCGGATATAATTTGTTCGACTATTGTACATAAGTTGACTATGATTACTCGGCCGTGCTATCATAGTAGCACAATGCCACTAATATTTGACTTACCCCCCTATTAAGAATTCGTACGACGCACGATAGACGCTTGCATTCTGTTATGCTCTATTACGAATCGATGTTGTTGTATGAAATCCGGTAGTTAGCGTAGCTGATTCAGAGAACGTATATTTATAGAGAAGGACCAAGAACGAATCAGCGTGGAAACTGTTAAATACCAACAAAACTGGCGAAGCGCATTTTCAGAGCGGCAAGCCAGAGACAATCGAATTTTAACAGAGCCCAGCCAGAAGCAAAATAAATTTAACAGAAAAGTTCTGAACACATTGAAAACGACGAGCTACGGCTTCCAATTTGTCATCTTCATTATCTAAATGCATTGTCGATGGCGACATGATTTATTTGAACGCGGCAGCGACATCATAAATTTGTAA